TTGTTGTATAAATTTGACTTGGGAAATATGCAAAGTACTGGAGCTGGCTTGTACTGGCTCCTGGTAAATGTATGTGCAGGTGTTTTCTAAGCTGGTTGTTTTTACCTTGGTAGAGTAAAGTCAGACACAGTGGTAGTATTTACACCATGTAAATCAGCAAACACATCTCCCCACCCCCAAGCTGGTTGTTAAACACTTATTGGCATACCACAGGAAATGTAAATATTTTAGGAAAGTATAAAACAAAATTAAATTTAAAAAGAGCATTCCTAAACACTGAACACAAAATGAAACAAATAAACCTCCCAGTGAATTTAGTGGGTAGCATTACTACATTGAAATAAGACTTTTCAAGTGACTATAAAGCACAGTAATTTGACTACACAGCTCTAATGGAAATACCAAAACAATTGCAAAAATAATCACTTTAACAGTTTAACTGTTTTCAATATTGTTGCATGGATGATCATATTGTTATTCTGAGAAATTTCTCAGAATATATATGGAATAAAGCAAATGGATAGCTGTTACTGTCATGAGTATTGGGATTTTCAGTACAGGACTAAAGAACTACAAATACTAGTTTGCGGTTATTAAGGAAATACCTTGTGGTCCTGAATGTGAATTGGATATATCAGTATGAAGTTATGATGTCTTTTATATTTAATTAACATTTACATCAATGAATTTCTTAGCTCTGTCCACTGAAAAACCCTAAAAACAATGACCAACCCAGGAGCAATGTGTATCCCTAAACCCCAGATATCCAGATACCCAGACTGTGGTTTCTAACTTCCATTTCCCACAAAAGGAACCAAAACTTTGTGGAGAAATATCTTATTACAGATCTCGGTCAGGATCTGTACAAAATATTGGAAGGAAAGAAGCTATAAAAGACTACTGGGATTATGTCAAAAGGACTTAAGAGCCAACTTGAAGAGGCTCTCACTGGCCACAGATGAGGAAAAAATGTAAGCAATAATAAGATTAATAACTGTCATGGGTTGAAACACATAAAATACATTTCAGTGTTTGAGTTTATAATGATACCCAAACACCTAACTGGGCCACCTCTGGACGATGCTAGGAAGCAAGCTTAATTGTTTTAAACAATGGTAAAGGCATTTTATCCTGCTTTTTCTATACAAACTGTATCTCAGGGTAACCAAACAGGTGATAAAAGAGTGTTTTTCTTTATAAAAATATTCTAGCTAATAAATAAAGAAGGAATGATAAAATTAGAATATCAACATTTTGTAACCTAAAATGAGATCATGAATGTAGGTAATTATCAATGCCTAGTAACACCACAAAAAGAGAGTAAACCAGCAATGAAGGGCCTCTTGATAGAAGTATACACACCACTCTGTATAAAGTATTCTTGTTAAAAAAAATGTGTGTGTGTGTCTGAATGTGTGAATGTGTGTATCTCCAACCTGCATCAGATCAAAACTCTTGATTTAACTACCAATCTGCAGAGGAACAAGTTAAATGAAAAAAATCTGGATTGCAGGAAACGACAAAGGACAAATGACCCAGTTTTTCAACAAATAAACTTCAAGGAGGAAAAAGAGACATGGATAAGAAACCTCGATTAACAGAGAAATACCAATCAATGGCAATTCATGAACCTAATTTGAACAAACAATAAATCAATCGATAAAAAATGTATATGACTATGTATGTGTATACATGTATATAACAGATATGTGTGCATATCTATGTATGTTAGTGTGTATATGTATATAGGTCTATATATGTATTTGTCACACATAACTAAGGAAATATGATTGTGGACTAAAGCATTTGATGATATTTAGAAATGAACAATTTTTTAGATATGAGGGGGATATTATTTTGAAGAAGAACTCATCTTCTGGAGAAATATACTGCAATAGTGACAGGTGAATTAGTACAATATATGGGATTTGCTTCAAAATTTGGCGGGGGGTGGTGAATGGAAGGAGAATTGAGTGACAGTGAGTTGAGATGCATTTGGGTTGGGTGATAGGTACATAGGTATTCATTGCAACTATTCTCCCTTCTTTTATCTAAGACTAAAATTTTCTATAAGTTAAAAAAACCCCTATGAACACAAAGAACAAAAAATTATGTAGTGAATATTAACAAACTAATATCAAACTACACATTCCAACTTAGAAGTCCATCGTGATCATCTGAGGAGCTTTTTCGAAATATGGTCTCTGAACCACCACTATCTTAATGAACCTCAAAGATTGAAGGAACTGTGCCATGCAGGAGTGAAGAAAAGAGGCTGAGAACCACTGTGTAAACACCTTAAGGGTACGGGATGTGCATTATTCACTCAGTATTTACCTCAATGCCTGACACTTAAGAAATATTCAAGAAACATTCATGAATTAATGAATGATCAAATGCAAATAAATAAGCAGGCTTAATAGCAGATCACTGCTAGATGTGCAAAACACATCATTCATATTTGGTATTAAAAAATCACTCAGGTTATTGGGCTTAAAGACCACTACTCTCTGCTTTAAGTGGAATGAATTTCCTTCATAAAGCCACAGACTAGTCACTTCGAACAGCTACAAGCAAACACCTAGAATAAAAATAGTTTTAAATACACAATTGGGTGGGGTGTGGCTAGAAAATATTCTGATTCTACAATCTGTTTTGGACGAGACTGTGCTTCTTATGTGACTAATAAAGCAAACAGTAGTCAGATTCCTTGTGTTGAAAGAAGTACACTATTTGCCAGAAGGGTTGAACGTCAAAGGCTCATCTAATAAAGACACCACATTTTCCAAAGCTAAAGGGGAATACAGAATGACAAATACCCACATATATTTACATATCCCCAAAGGAGGGCATACAACCACCTGGTATGGATTTTTATTCGTCTCTAGTAAGTACTAAATGGAGCCAAGCACACCGTCTGACCACAGGGAACAGCAGAATACTTCGAGCACAAGAATAATCTAATTTTAAAGTTGGGAGAAACTTAGAAACCACCTGGTCCAAGTTTTTCATTGTCTTTATGCAAAAATAGACACCTAGACAGTTAGAATAGCCACAGATGAAAAGATGGCCTACACAGTGCAGAGCAATACATTATCGAAAGCTGAGAATTAATCCTCTGAACATTCACATTAATAATTACTAACAGGGTATCCGTTTCAATTATAAACAAATAGGAATGTGTGTGTACATGTGTGGAAACATATATACACACATAAATACTAAAATATGTATTTCTAATAATTCCTTTCAAAACAAATTCTTTAACCTAGCATTCAAGAGCATTCATAATGTTATCTCACCTAGTTTTTTTCAAAATCTTGTCCCAATGAACCATAAGCAAATGGAAGGCAGCTGTTTTCTCTCACTTATCTTTTGTGGTCTCTTACAGAGACAGAGTATACATTATAATTACAGAAGCTATTTCATATATAATTTCCAAATGATGAAAGAATGATTAGAATATAAACTTTCCAATTCTCCTATTAACCTGAACTGACATAAAAGCCATATTTCATGTGTATCTATGAGTAATATATAAAGACATATATGATGATGTAGATTGTTTTTTAATATGACAATCAGAGAAAGGCTTAAAAGTGAGAGTTAGGAGAAAGGCAGTAAGATGAGTTATCTACAAGGTGCTATAGAGGGCTTTGTTTAAAATACACACAGAAAACAAAAAGGACACCCCTCCCCCCCTTTTTAATCTACTGGTCAAACATTCAATTATTTCAATTACCGATTAATCCTGAATCCATACTACTTTAATTCTGCAGAGGTATAAAAATGATGTAACTGTGCCTGTATATGGAATTCTGCTTCTCACCTAGTTCACTTATACAGTTGATTTGATTTAGATCCAAAATGATGAAACTAAGATACAAAATATAGGCTCTCAACTTCCTGTCTTTATTAGATTTTTTAGGATCCTGAAAACTGATCTTAAGAGTCTCCTAACATTGTTAAAGAGAATACTAACTACTGAAATTGACCATGATAACATTTACATCCACCTTTGAGAAAAAAAGTTTCTAATTGCGTTAATTCAAGATCCCTGAAGGAAATTGCAAAGTAAGCCAATGATATTTTTTAAAAAGCTGAGCAAAGTCTGAAGAATTTTTTCCTTCTAAAATGAACACAGCAACCTTGTGTAAATAAACATAATATGAGATTATCAAGTTAAGAGTTTTTGCAAACTCTACTGCAACTCTAAAGTAAAATCCAAATTTAAGCAAGAAAATCTGAAGCCACTTACTAAACATAGTGTAGTGCTGTAAATAAAGAGTCTAAATTCATCACAGTAATTATACTGTTAACTCTACTAACAAATTCGCAGATGTCTTGAGTCTATCTGAAAAATTTTAAGTATTTAATATGCAAAAATGTGAAATATTTTAAATTTCTCTTATTACCTTCTGAGGGCTAACCCCCAAATCCTGAAATGCAAAACAGCATACCTCTATTTTCACCATTTGGTTTCTTTCTATCAAGCCTAAAAATAAGTGAGAATTGGGGTAAGCTATTTTTATAAACAATCAGAAACATTAATGAGCACATTGATGGCTTTAGGTAATAATTGAAAATTTTGAATGATGGTTTAAATCTACCCCCCACCATACGAATTCTTTCCCCACTTTTCTATACTACCAAATATTTTCAACCAAATAACACAAGAATGTGTTTTTCAAAATTAAAAAAGGGGTATCATCATTCTATTATGAGCTAACCTAAACACTGGAGTAGTAACTTCTAAAAAAAATTACAGAAAGAGATGGTACTTGGTTAAAACTATTAATATATATTTAACACAAAGAGTTTATTTTTCAATAAGAAAACAAGGAAAAAGGCCAACCTGATCTTGCATGCCTGCCCAATAGGACTTTCCACCATAATTAGTGCTTACCACCTTTGAGGGGAGGAGTTTAAATTCAGGGTAATATCATGTAGTAGGGCAAAACAGTATAAATACCACAGGGCAGCTCTGGAGAGGGCACCTTCTGCACTGCTCACATGGGCACAGGAGGCCTCAGAAAGCTGCCAAGACACCATCTCTGGGAGCTCCCAGCACCCAGGTAAGTCTATGATTGATGCTCACTGGACTTCCATGTTGGCTGGCTTGGAAACAAGCTTCAATAAATTAACTATTTGGCCTTTTTGTGATTTTTAAAAAATGGCTTTCTACTAAAATGCACTCAGAAAGTTTTATTTTTATCAGACTATACTAGTATAAGACAATATTAATAAAACTGTATTGTACAACTATGTCCTAATATGAATTTCAGTGTATTTTGAAGCTATTCAGTATTTCAGGCTATGTCAAAAATCCTAAATTATTTAATACAAAGATTCAATAATAATTTATATTCCTTTTTTTTTTCTTTGTAAATCACTTTATTTTTACTTACTTGAATGTGGCTTCCAAAAACAACCAAGGCACATATTCACATAACTAAAAAATTCTCTCTCATTAATTTATGGAATATATTCAAAATACACATGGTAGGGTTAAAAAATAGACAACTGTATAAAGAAGTCATCTATGCAACATTAGAAAAATAAAACAAGTCAATAACAAAGCTGTATGAGATTGTTCTTTTCTGTTTTTCAGAATCCACCTGAGAATATGCTGCCACAAATAGTCCTTTTGCTGCTAATGTCCTTGAACTTGGTTTACGGAGGGTTTTATGCTGAGCGATACCAAACACCCACAGGCATAAAAGGCCCACCACCCAACACCAAGACACAGTTCTTCATTCCCTACACCATAAAGAGTAAAGGTAAACTGAATTGTATATTTTGTTCTACTAATCAATTGGTTGGTGCTTTCTATAGTCTTAATGGTTTCTTTAACAAAATGCTTTCAAGTCTGGTGCTAAATTATTCTCAAACCCCTGGATTAGCCCAAATTATTACACCAAAGTGATCTGTGGAAAAAGTAGGTCTATTCAAGAATATTAATATCCCTTACACATTAAGTATAGCAAAAAGTACATGCCTGAAGTATATACCTGAAAGAATAGTAGAAAGACATTCCTGAAGAATATTAAGATCTTTTATGTGTAGAGATTTTTCCCTCAAATGATGCTTTTGCACAAATAACTCCCATAACCCAGAAATATAATTGCTAATTGTCCAAAGAGAGTAGAAGATTTATATATCTAAATACTTAAACATTTACTTTTAAAACCATTCAACTAGCCTGCAAATACTAGGGTTCAAAAAGTTCACAGAAAAAAGAACTGAATAATATGAATCTTTCCATGAACTTTTTGAAGTATCCTCACATACACAAAACAGCCTTACCAAATAAAACCTGATCCCCCCCACTTATTATGAATATGAACATTATTAAAATAAATTTAATAGGCAAGTAAAGTAGCAATTCTCATAGTTATACATTTTTATATAGTAGTTTAGTGGTTAAATGCACAGGCTTAACTGCTAAGTTGTAGCTATGTGACCACAGGTAAGATATTTATCTTCTCCGAGCCCTAGTTTTCTCATTTCTAAAACAAGGAACAGCGATCTCAAAGGGCTGTAGAAAGCTTAAATGACTCAATACATATAAAATGCTTTACATGTTGCTATTACTACTACTATTATTGATACTACTACTTCTGCTACTTCTAGTTTTACTTCTACTATTACTAATTTACTGGAGTAGCCTTAGATAAGTTTGAACTTTCTTCTTTATGTATTCCTTATCTGTCCAGCTTTCTTGATTACTGTGAAGAGTACTAAGATATCAGTAAATTACAAGAGATCCCCAAAGAAGGGCAACAAATAGGTCTCATATTCACTAATTCCACTTAACAGCATCTGATACAAACTGCCTATAAAACATCTACTAAATAATATAAACTGATTATAGGCTTTAAATTTCTTTTCCATAACATTTTTCATTTTTGTTATATATTTTATCCTGTATATAAACCTAGGGATATTCACATAAACTTTAAATATTATGCTTTTGGGAACAATCATTCCGAGAAAATGAAACTTATAAGATTGCCTTTTTGAGAAGAAAGATGAAATTTAAAATATTTCATTAAAGGTAGATAGCTTAATATTTTTTAAAAAATGCACAGGTTCACATACTCTTGAATGTCTTAAAATATAAATAATATTAAAAAAAGATAAAAGCTAGGACAGAAAGAATAAAATAAAAAGAAACCTGCTACTTGCAGCAACACATGTGATTTAAAATGCCGTGACAAGTAGCACTGGATTCAATATTCTCTATGATCACATCACAAAGTCAGACTTTTTATACCTTACCAAGACTACCTTACCAACACCATAATAAACTGTCTTGGATTAAAAATAAAATGCACCACTTTTAGAAAGCTAAATATATTTCTATTTTCCAACCTTAATGTACTGACTATTTTTGCACAATAAATGAAAATATCTTGTTAACAAATGAAAAGTTCTGAAGCTGTATTTTAACTATTAATTCCACCTTGGTCTCTTTTTGATAATACAAGGTAGAAACCCAAATACATTATCATCTACTGGCAGACATGAATGCATTGTAAGGAACACAAAAGCCCACAACTCAAACAAATAAAACATTAAATTGGCAACAAATTCAAAGAGTTACTATGTAATTCCTAGGCACATCTGTTCCACACAGGGTAAAAGAGAGTTCAGCCAAAACACACTAAATGGTGCTGCAAGGATTCCTTGGCTGTTGGGTAGATGCAGGTGCCACATTCTGACACAACCAACCACTTTCAGTTTGTGGGCATTAAAAAAACTTAAGTCATTTTTTCTTAAGGATTGTGTCACACTAATCTTGAATGAATAAAATTTTTTTCAGATGGCTACTGGCAGGGACTGCCCCCCAAGAATTCAGCAGAAGTCAAATTCTTTCTTGCACTGAGAGGTTGAGGACCCATTAGGGCAACATTCAAAGTGACAAAGATCACACTGATATTGCAGTTCTAGCTTCAAATGGTGCTAACTGCAGTTGTTTTCAATAAGACTTGTTTTTCTTCTTTATTTCAACAGTAAAGTAAAACAGATTTCTAACCTAAGACAATTATTTTTAATATGAAAATAACCCTTATAATCAGATTCTGAAACAAAAAGAACGAGTTTGCATCTTTAAAAATATGCTATTTTATAACAAACCATTAAGAAATCCCTTATTTATCTATTCTATTTGTGATGCATCAACATCCATTTACAAATATAAATATATCATGTGTGTACACTAAAGTCAATCAATGACATATGTGTTAATATATGGAAATCTTTTCCACAAATTAATTTTTTTCAGTCTTTTTTCTGATGTCATTTTCTGAAAATCCGTGGAAAAAGCTATATATAATTAAATATATGCAAATTGAAACATAACTGTAATTAGTACAAGATATAAAGATACCTAAGTCTAAAACAATTATTTTTCTATTTCAGCATAATCTATTTTAATGATTTGCTCTGTATTTTATTTATCACCAAATATTTTTCAAATCTAAGGAACATCTCTACAAAGAGAATGATATTAGCAACTACTATTGGCTGACAACCTCTTACATGCCAGTTAACTAATTTTTTTTTTCCCTTTTTTTTTGTCTTTTTTCGTGACCGGTAACGGGATCGCAACCCTCAGTGTCACGCCCGTACTGTGACTGGCAATGGGATCGCAACCCTCGGTGTCGCGCCCGCACCGCGCTCAACCAGTGAGCGGACCGGTCTGTATATGGGATCCGAACCCTCGGCGGGAGCGTCACCACGCTCCCAAGCGCCGCACTCTACCAAGTGCACCACCAGGCCGGCCCCCAGTTAACTAATTTTTAATTTTGAGAGATTTTTTATTTTAATACACTTTTGTACCAACAACTAACAGTTAAAGGGAACTATATCCATAAAAATATACTTTTAAAGGCAATTTAGAATTGATTTCTATTCATTTAATATTAATATTCTTTTACTCTTCATTTTGATTTTTAAGCTATTAAAGATTTAGTTAAGAGTTTAAGTATATAAACTTTTTTTTTTTTTTTTTTCAAAAAAAAAGATGTGGCTCAAGCCATAACTATAAATCATTTTCAGGGTTTTGACCAAACTATTCAACTACTGTGATACTATGACATCTACTAAATCTACGTTATGAACCATTTTCTATGAGCTATTTTCCAATAGTATAAGAATCTAAATAGTTTAAGCAGGCATTCTAACTATATTTCTGAAAAGTATCAAACAAAATAATTTTAATATAAATTCTGCAAATAGATATTGCAAATCATATGTAACTTTATTATCACTTTGCTAGCTATTAAAGAATTTCTTTGAGAAATAAAGAATATTTTATGCAGATGTTTATGATGATTACTGCCAAAAGACTGATATAATACTTTCCTAATGTTATATTCTAATGCCCACAATGCCCTGTTACATTCCACCTTTGAAAAACCAAAGCAGCCCTTAGACACCTTCTAAAGCACTTATTGCACGCACACTTGTTTTACTCCATTTGTGACTGTCACCCCTACAGGACACATCCTGTGCTTTCCCCACACTTGTGGCCCAATAGCACTTTTCATATCACAGACACTAAGTGAATTTTGAGTTGAGTTTAGTATATTTGGAGAAGAATCATGGTCAAATGAACCCAGAGCTCTATGAAATTAAATAATGCTTATTTGCATTTAAATAAGCACTTTAATACTATTATATGCACCTTACCCATTATGTCTAATTCTCTCATTCTTTGTTTCAATGTTAAGTCAATAATGCAGAGTATAAGAGCTCACACTATATACTGAGGTTGAAAACAAATCAACCTAAATCTAAACCATGCTCAGCAGGGCCATGGCAGATAGAATTAATTCCATTTCTCATTTATGTCTTATAGCATAGCTTTTGTGAGGAAAAATTGTTATAGTTCATAAACATCTTCTCATTTATTCTGCACTTTTCTTTTTCTTGCTTTTCTGTCAAACATCTTTTTTTCCCCTTTCCTTTCTACGTAGATGATTTTCCCAAAACAACTGAGATAAATTTACCTCCACTGAACTATTAGTCTAGAGGAGTTCTTCAATCCCAGCTCATTTTCATGGCTCATTAGGATGTGATAAAAGTATTACAGTAGCCATGGTTTTGTGAAAACATCTTCTCTAGCAGTGTTTTTTAGAACGATATAAAATGTATCATCCAAACCATTTAAGACTGGTCGGCCCACATGGAATGAATGACACTGCAGTGTCCTGTTTTGATTTATATTTTGAGAAACAATGATTATGTCTAACATTACTAACCATCCCCGTCTGGGGTGGGTGTACTGGGTGTATCTTTTAGGTATACCAGTAAGAGGTGAGCAAGGTATTCCTGGGCCACCAGGCCCCGCTGGACCTCGAGGACACCCAGGACCTTCCGGACCACCAGGAAAACCAGGCTATGGAAGTCCTGGACTCCAAGGAGAGCCAGGGTTGCCAGGACCACCGGGACCATCGACCACAGGCAAGCCAGGTTTGCCAGGACTTCCAGGAAAACCAGGGGAGAGAGGACCGTATGGACCAAAAGGAGAAATTGGACCAGCTGGTTTACCAGGACCCCGGGGCCCACCAGGGCCACCTGGAATCCCTGGCCCGGCTGGAATTTCTATGTCAGGAAAACCTGGACAACAGGGACCTCCAGGAGCCCCAGGGCCCAGGGGTTTTCCTGGAGAAAAGGGTGCACCAGGAGTCCCTGGTGTGAATGGACAGAAAGGGGAAATGGGATATGGTGCTCCTGGCCGCCAAGGTGAGAGGGGCCTTCCAGGCCCTCTGGGTCCCATGGGACCAACTGGTCCTCCCGGAGTGGGAAAAAGAGGTGAAAATGGATTTCCAGGACAGCCAGGAATCAAAGGTGATCGGGGTTTTCCTGGAGAGAGGGGAACAACTGGCCCACCAGGTCCCCAAGGTCCTCCTGGGGAACAAGGACCAGAAGGCATTGGAAAGCCAGGAACCACTGGAGCCCCAGGCCAGCCAGGGATTCCAGGGATAAAAGGTCATCCTGGGGCCCCGGGAATAGCTGGGCCCCCAGGGGCTCCTGGTTTTGGGAAACCTGGCTTGCCAGGGCTGAAGGGACAAAGAGGACCTGCCGGCCTTCCAGGTGGTCCAGGAGCCAAAGGAGAACAAGGGCCAGCAGGTCATCCTGGGGAGCCAGGTCTGACTGGACCCCCTGGAAATATGGGACCCCAAGGACCAAAAGGCACCCCAGGCAATGATGGTATCCCAGGCCCTAAAGGTGAGGCAGGGCCAGTTGGGCCTGCAGGATACCCTGGTGCTAAGGGAGAAAGGGGTTCCCCTGGATTAGATGGAAAACCGGGGTACCCAGGAGAACCAGGTCTCAATGGTCTTAAGGGTAACCCAGGGTTACCAGGCCCCAAAGGTGACCCTGGAGTTAGAGGACCTCCTGGTCTCCTAGGCCCTGTGGGCCCAGCAGGAGCTAAGGGAGTGCCTGGACATAATGGTGAGGCTGGTCCAAGAGGTGCCCCTGGAATACCAGGCATCAGAGGTCCCATTGGACCACCAGGCATTCCAGGATTCCCTGGATCTAAAGGGGATCCAGGGAATCCAGGTCCTCCTGGCCCAGCTGGCATAGCAACTAAGGGCCTGAATGGACCCACTGGGCCACCAGGGCTTCCAGGTCCAAGAGGCCACGCTGGTAAGCCTGGCCTCCCAGGACCCCCAGGGCCACCAGGTCCACCAGGCCAAGCAGTCATGCCCGAGGGCTTTATAAAGGCAGGCCAAAGGCCCGGTCTTTCTGGGATGCCTCTTGTTAGTGCCAACCAGGGAGTAACAGGAATGCCTGTGTCTGCTTTTACTGTTATTCTCTCCAAAGCTTACCCAGCAATAGGTGCTCCCATCCCATTTGATAAGATTTTGTATAACAGGCAACAGCATTATGACCCAAGAACTGGAATCTTTACGTGTAGGGTACCAGGAATATACTATTTCTCCTACCACGTGCATGTGAAAGGGACTCATGCATGGGTAGGCCTATATAAGAACGGCACCCCAGTGATGTACACCTATGATGAATACATCAAAGGCTACTTGGATCAGGCTTCAGGGAGCGCCGTCATTGATCTCACAGAAAATGACCAGGTATGGCTCCAGCTGCCCAATGCCGAGTCAAACGGCCTGTACTCTTCTGAGTATGTCCACTCCTCTTTCTCAGGATTCTTGGTGGCTCCAATGTGAGCACAGTCCCACTGAGCTAATCTAAATCTTCCGCTTGAAAAGGCATTACCCAACTCCACCCCACCCCACAAAATGCATATGAAAGTAGGCTGAAAAAAATGTGAGTAAATTTTCCAAAATACAGATTTGACCTTTAAGGCCAACAGATGTTCCCCCTGAGAGAGTAAGCAGCAATGGTAAACCATACGTGAAGGCCTCTCAAATTTTTGGTCAGCAGTCCTAAAGCCCTTTAAGGTTTTCTGTGAATTACTTAAATATTTAAAAATTTCACCATAAAAGTCCTAAATTAAAACAATAAAACTATCACAAAAAAAAAGAGAACTCTAAATTATGTTAAATTTGATTTCAGAAACTCAGCATTTACTTTTAAAATAAGCCTGTTTCTAATAACCAATATGAGAATTTCTTGGAAACATTCAGGAGGTGTCATAAAATTTTCTAGAACTTAAATACTTGAATATTCAAATTTAAAAGATACTGTATACCCTAAGATATTTCTGATGGTGCATTACTCTAGGGCTTGTACAGTCCCTTTCATCAAGATCTATTCAAATATATAGGTGCATACATACTTTTTTTAAAGTACTCATAAAAAACAAAAATACTGTGTTAAAATTAATCTGAAATGCAAGGTGCTTTAGTAATGAACATTTTCAAACTTTTCTGTGATTGCAGAGAAGTTTTCTATATACCTGGCACAACTTGGAAACAGGTGTCTGACCTATTCTTATTTATTTAACACAAGTGTGATTAATTTGATATCTTTAATTCCTTACTGAATCTTACGTAATATGACTTTGTTGATTTACAGAATATTTGCATATATACCTTGTGCCTCCCATTCTGGTGAAATTATAATTAACTTCAAGGGTTTCAAAATCTGAATAGAAATGAAGACATTATTTATTTATGCTCTGTACTGTATGTTTACATTGCTGTTTAAAACTTTTAAGCTGTGCTTCACTAAAGCATAAAATGTTTTACCTACTCCTTATGTACAATGCAATAAAATAACATCAATAGATTTTATGCTGAATTTACTTGAAAGCAACAATTCATTATGCACAACCATTCTTTTAAGGCTTTTCATTCTACCAAGTTAAAAAGTAAAACAATAAAGTGGTGGGTGGCTTTTACAGTTGTCATGATTATGTCCCTCTATTGGGGGTGGGCATTCCCACACAACCAGGCACTCAGCATGGACTGTGAAAAGCCACCCACAAAGCCACATGCAACTGAGTGGGCATAGAAAGATGAGACAATCACCTCAAAACAGTGATTTTCTTCCCAGAGGGAGGGAAGCAGGTGGCAGAGATATATGTAGTTCGAACAAATATTCTGCAGTTACTATTTATTGTCTTGACATTTTTAGTCACAATATTTAAAGTTATTTTGATGGCTTGAATTACATTAAAAGGAAAGCAAACAATTTTAACGTTGATCAAAAAGCAACATTTTTCTAAGCTGAAAATACCGCTCTTGAGCACCCATCAGCCCACTAATTAAATCAGGGCAGTCTGTTTCAAGTCACTGTAACGTAATATAAAAACATCTATTTATTCCTTAGAAGTAAACTTTGTGTAACCCAAGAAAACTTGTGAATGGAAATGTAAAAGCCTGGGCTCAAGGGTGGCAATCTCTGTACCTCCATATTGACTCAGCCACTCCTATTCCTTAGGCAACAAGAATGCAATTTCCACAGGTAGGCACTTTGCCCAACTGCCTGCAACTATTACACTAATGGTTACAGGTGTCACCAACCCTCATTCCCAAACCATGATGTAGCAAACCTGGAAACTGAATTCTGGGGAACTCCCAGAACAATCCTATTGACAGGCATGTAAAAGTTTAACAGCACAACGCAGACACCTGGCAATCACTGTCATGAAACAGACTTGAATAAAAGAACCCCTTAAAATGTAAGTAGAACCAACATCACAGCCATATTTAAGAAAATTAAATCCTAGTTAAGGAACACAGAAAAATAGGTAACATCTAACTAATTCACTAGACACACAGCATTTAACAAACATCTATTAGGAAGCCTCTCTTCATTTTTTTTTTTTTTTTTTTTTGTCTTTTTTCGTGACCGGTAAGGAAATCGCAACCCTTGGCTTGGTGTCACCCGCACCGCACTCAGCCAGTGAGCGCATCGGCCATTCCTATATAGGATCCGAACCCGCGGCGGCTGCGTCGCTGCGCTCCCAGTGCCGCACTCCCCCAAGTTTGCCACAGGGCCGGCCCCCTCTCTTCATGTTACTCACCATTAAAAGCTGACATTTTATAATTGTGTTGTATAGCAGCAACTATATCTTTCCAAAAATCAAATGTTTTTTGACCATTCTGCTAAAAAAAAAAAAAAATCCAAATGTAACAAATACATTAATTCTGTTTTTAAGCATAGTGTAAAATGCTGGCAAATAAATGCAATGTTACTGCATTCTAAGATAGAGATTTATGTCTTCAAAAATATAATAGACTAAGAAAGTTCTCATTCTCCTAAATGTGATTTTAGAAACAGAAATCTTTCACGAAAATCACTGCTATATATATGCATACATATCACTAAATATTAAAATAGCTCATATAGCTCAAACAGAATAAAAATTTCCACTCATTATAAAGTCAAAAAATTATAGAATATTTTAAACACATAGGCAAATTTACAATGTTATATAGTTTCTGAGATATCAGAATGTGTTAATTAATGTACAATAGCATCAAAGGAGCTATTAAATAGCCTGAAGTTCTAAATTCCCCAAAAGTGGCTACTTCAGAATACAGTGCACACTTAACCCGAATTTCAATAAAAAAGAGCAGCAGTATCCATAGGAGAGATGAATGAGGTTCCAAATCCAGAATGTAAATTATTTTTATTGAGATTTTTTAAAAAAACAGAAAGCAAATAAACATTACATTAAAACACGTAACTCTATAATCTTTTGCTTCCTTGGAAACATTAACCAGTGTCCTCCTATCTTAACAAAGACAGACTACTAGATATTTGTATCTAAGTATACAAACTATGAAATATTTAAAGACTGACACATTTTGCTTGTAACTATGAAATGATAAACTAACTCTATCTCATGTCAATAAAAACTTCTACAAACATACCAAAACTATTCCTCCACAGAAACTTTCACAAACACAACTGTAATTCTCACTCAAAAATAAACCATTACCTGTGCTCTATGATAAACATAATAGTGATTTTAAAAGACAACATATGCAAAAAAAAAAAAGTGATTCTGACATGTAAACCCAGTTATGTTCACAAGGTCTTAAGTTATAAGTATAAACTGATATAACCAGAGATCTATTTAATCTTGACACATAGTACAAACTATGCTCACAATAATGAATTTTAAAATCTCACCTCATTTTTGGTTTTATATTATTTAGACTGCTTAAAGACACATGGAATTTTCTTAATTACTTATACTTTTTTTATTCTGCTAATGAAACTATTTATTTATTCTACTGAAGAAAATACTTTTCCAGATGTAAGTTCTGTATTTTTTTTCTAGACTTTTGCACCCCCTGCTGGACAACAGGTTTATTTTCCCTGGGAAAAAAATGATCACTGCTATTTAATTTTCCAAAAATGTTTTGACCAATTTGCCATGTTTTTCTTCCTCAGTCACCTCTAAAACCACAAAAAGAACACTAAGTAAAATCACAACTCAAAAGTCATATATAATTAAGTTCTCTGATTTATGACTAAATACATATCATAGTTTTTAAAAAATGAGTCCCTACTGACCTTTGTTAAAGAGTCCACCACCCTGGCACATAGAAGAGCTCCTGGCAGGTCAAAGTAGTTATCATAAAAATAATACTTTCCTAAAAAATAACAAAATTTTAAATTGGAAACAAATTAATACCTCACATATGTGGAATACACAGAAACTTGGATGAAGAGACACTGGACTTTGATCTAATTATTTGTAGGAGCCTCCATTTCAATTCAAAATGGCACCATTACAGGCTATCATCATATTTTAAGGAAGGTTTAAGCTTGGGGGCACTACAAGAAAGATAAAATATGATATCAATAAGTTAAGCATTTTACTCAAAAATACTTGAGTAAAAAAAAGTGTAAAAAGTAAAAACAGACTGTACCCCAAATATAAAATGGAACATGAGAAAACTACAATTTATGTTATCAATATCACTGAATTTCAAAATGATTCAATAACCTAACACTGGAGTACCATGAAGTACTCCACACAATAGTGCCTTTTCCTACCTGTGCTGGTTGGCCCACCTAGAGAGCCATATGTTCAGCCACATGCTTACACTATATTTTTAATGTAAACAAAGTTTAACTAGGTTGTGGAATCACAGGCCATTTTATTTTCTTCTTTTATACTTTCCTACATTAAAAAACCAGTAAGTATTATTTTTAAACGCATTAGCTTTTTCTTATTATTTTGCAGAAACAATAGACCTCTTTTATGTGTCACAGTCTGACCACTAGGCACTTAAATGGGAAATGTTTCCCCCGCCAACCCAATTAAGAGTAGAGAAACTCCAAGATCACCCTCAGCATGCTCCTGGGTAAATGAAGCACTGAGGGAAGCTGCTGATTCAGAGAGGCAGGGTCCTCTAGTGGGCAAAGCAGTGAGTAATCAGAGGTGTCAGGCGGGGTATTTCCTAGCTGAGAAATACTTCCCTTCTTTACAGTACTCCCGATTCTGAATTCACTTCAGAGTGAGACACTTAGCTATGTGCCTAGCTTTCCTGGGACAATAGAAGAGCTTATTTACAGCTGCCAACATCTGAGACAATAGCAGTTCTCTATCATCACTTGAGTAAGGGCCTATCCACCCATTTGACTTGAGATGTACAAAAGCATTTTATATCTAATCCCAACATAAAATCTCAGTTTTTCCTAAAAACTTATTTTATCAAGAGCACTCTAAACTCCTGACACTTTCAGGTCTCCACAAAAAAAAAAAATAAAACAAAATTCTCAAAATATAGCAAACACAATAGCAACAAGGAGTAACTGCAACTGTTTTTAGGTTTCTACAATTTCTGAAGGACAAAAGGTGTATTTCAATACTGTAGTGTGGGAGAAAACAGCAAAATGACAAAAATAAATTTAGAACAAATGAAAAACTAATAATTCAGACTTTTAATAATGTGTTTATAAAAACGTTTTAACCACTCCCTATAAATTTGTGCACGTCTATGTCTGTAAATAACTTTTGAAAAATTGTTTCATGTTTACCCATGGTGAAGACAGTGGAAAAGAAAAATGTGTACAATAATCTGAAATACAAAAAAATAAAATAAAAAAGAAAGGCAGAAGATACTAGAACAGGTCGTTAAGAGAGAATTCTAGAAAACAGGAGTGGTGGTTAATATGAATATGGAGAGAAATGGGAGATGGAGAAAGAAAAGTAAGGATTGAGCACGTAACAAATTTATAATGAATACATGACAGCAGAAGAATGCATTATTCCTAAGTACCAATCATCTTTACTCCAGAATAAGTGCGAGTAAAAGGAGTATCAACAAAATTTCAAATAAAATTGTGTCAAAATACTAACAGCATTTTGAGCCAGCTGCCAAACAGAAATTGTACACATCTGGAAAAAATATATCCTACTGCTGTAAAACTAAGAAGGCTCCTTTGTGCACTCTGCCTGGCAAGGGTAAGGAGGGTCTTCTTTGTGTCCTTACATTGTAGGTTCGGGGTCCAAAACAAAAGGGGAGTGGGTGGCGGAGAGGCCCCATGGGAGTCCTACCTGAGTGACACGGCATTCCAGTGTCCGACATGAAGTGCTTCCACTCCTTCTTGCCGTACACCTCTGCCAGTGCCTCCGGGGTCATCATCTTGGTGCCATGGCTTGCCCTGGTTTTGGGAGATGATGCACGTTGCTCATTAATGGTTCCCATGAACGCCCCTTCCTCTAGCATTCCAATTGTTGATCCCACTGTTGCTGCAGCTAACAAAGTGCTTTGTGTGTGTGTGTTTTCAGTCGGGTGACTTCTCTGCTTAGGACTCTATGAGGCATTTTTATCGACAGCTCTAGCTCCAGTTCTTCCTCCATTTAATCCACCAACTAGCAGGTGGTTAGGAGATGTTCACTCTGCGGTCAACACTGTGT